GAGGATTTTTTTTTTTAAGATGTGCTATGGCAATATTTTGTTGTACAGTAAATCTACAGCAGGGAGTACTTGAGAGATAATAAGTACATTAGTGAATAATTGAGAATATGTGAAATAGAAACTGAAAAATTGCCTTGTTTTTTTCTCCTGCGTCATATCCAGAAGGTAGATGTCATAATGTGCTTAATATCTGTGTCATAATTCTTTCTTGGGTCTTATAGGCTCTATTATGAAATGACAAAAGTGTTTTTTCAGGAAAGAGGAAAACAGACTTTTTTTTTTTTTAAAAAAAAACTAATCTTGTTTTTGAAATAGGAGTGACCAAAACAATAWTCGTATAAGGAACTCCATTCTTGAATAGCAAGTTTGCAAATAAGCATTCAAAAAAAGTAGCAGACTAATGCTGATATCAAGTAAGGCCTGAGTGGTAATGAAGGGACAATATTTGGGAGAGTTTGAGATGTGAAATTTTCCTATTCTTTTATTAACAGATCTACAACCTGGACTAGAAATTTAGTCAGTTGATAATAGTGTCGTTTCTCAAGGTCTTTACCTTCATGCTTCCTTTCTCCCCAGATGCTGGCAACTGTGCAACTAGAATTGCCTTATGTTATGTACATATTGTCTATGGGGGTTTTAGTTGATGAACACAGCTTGTACCTGAGTACAGGATAGGTAGGATTGCTTGCTGTATACTGCTTATTTATCACAAATATTTTTGGGTTTTGCAGGAGAGGGAGATGGTTAAAGCAAGCCTAATATCTGTTCCTAATATTCTGTCATTCTTCTTAGGCAATTTGAAGGCTATGACTATTCTCAGCAGAGCGGATTTTTTCCCCCAGAAATGATGCAACAGCAGCAGCCCTACATGGGGCAGATTTATCAGCCAACGCAGACGTATACTCCAACTTCGGCACAGTCTTTTTATGGAAGTAGCTTTGAGGATGAGCCTCCGCTATTGGAAGGTATAACTTGTTCTTTGTAGCCAAATCCAGAACTCCTCACAATTTGGCAGTAAGTTAAGCAGTAGAGGTATATGTTCTCTAGTAGGGTATATTTTGTCTACTTTTGTTGAGTAGTATATCTCCACTCCAATTTTTTTAAGTTATCTGTATTTCATATATTTCAGTATGTGAAATACATGTTTCTCTGTCAGCCTTTACAGTTGCAGAACTGAAGTTTATTACTGCCTCCCAGCAGTTGGCAGAACTGCTGAATTAAATCAGTAACCTGATTTTGTACAACTCTTAATCTTTTTATTGTTGCAAACAATACCAAAGACTGCCTTTTTTGTAAAACAATTTGATAATCTTGGTTCTAGTCACATAACCAATTGAAACTGGAATCTTTATCGCTAAAGAGAAGCATTAAACACTTTAGAAATTCTTAGCAGAATGCAGTCTACATGGCRTGCTGGAATAGATAGATATTAAGAGTGTATGTATTTGCTTTTAGTTTCCAGCTTACATACATCATTGTTCTGTACCAAACAACTGAAAAAAACCCTGTACTGTTAGTATTACAGAGATTGGAATGCATGATTTTCCTTTACCCAGCTGTTCACAAAATTTATTTGTTTATAGATGCCCATAAAACCTCAGTGTTTTATTGGACAAATAGTAGATGCATTCACAGTCAGCTTTCACACAAAACTGGCCAAGTTGTGTGGATGGAGGCTTGAAAACATATCTGCTTGTCGAGAACTGTGAACCCATGAATTGCTTAGACATTAAAAAGGTTGGGGAATTTTTTGGTTGTTTTTAATGGACTTAGTTAGGAGGATGGGTAGCTTAAAACAAAAAGAAACCCACTAAGGGGGATTAAGTACAGAGAGACTGCCCTAAACTAAAAATCCTTGAGCCACCTCCCAGGGGAGGCTTGGAGAATAGTTGGGCAACGTGCCTGATTTGCTCTTACACTCTTTCCTACATATCTGCTTTTGGCCACTTAGAGGGACAGCATACTAGGCTAAATGGACTTTTGGTCTGACCCAGAGTACTGTGCTTGTGCTCTTATCTGGTCCCGTAGAAATCTGCCTCACTGCAGAGCATTTGAGACCTGGAATCTGTGGAGTCAGCACACTCAGCTCTTTGAGGAAAGATGGAATGACTCAATTCCCTGRTCCCCTAGGAATGGTATTTTGAGGAGGTTTGTAGGTGGAGGGGCAGGAAAAGTATCAGTGAAGCAAGTGGGGCCAGTGGAAAAGGAAAAATGATATAAATATACATAATGCTTTTCATTTAACTTGTAGAATTGGGGATCAACTTCGACCACATCTGGCAGAAGACGCTAACAGTTCTGCACCCGTTAAAAGTAGCAGATGGCAGCATCATGAACGAGACTGACTTGGCCGGACCAATGGTCTTCTGTCTAGCCTTTGGAGCCACACTGCTGCTGGTGAGATATGGACTGCAAAATATTATTCTTTGTGCTTTTAGTACTGCCAGAAAAACTGGGAATAAGCTGATTACCCTTTAGTTTTACTCTAAGATACTTCTTAGCGTGGAGGCTATAAAAACACAAATCCTAACTGAGAATTTTTAGCTCAGTGGGAGAGCTTTTGGGGATTGATACAAAACCTCATTGAAATTAATGAGTTTGCAGAACTTCAGTGTTTGGTTTCTGCATGCTCATTATTCCTGTAGTATACATACTATTTTTCACGCTTGGCTTTTGAGGAATATTGTTGACTGTCACACAAATGGGGTGTGACGCCCATATTCTTATTTTTTTCCTGTACTACTTGTGTGCAATGGCACATCTTACCTTCAGAATCATAGACTGTTTTATTTAAAGCGTTTTTGTTAGCTTCTGCATTATCTGGAATCAGAGGAAGGAGCCTTCTGTATATTTCCATATCTTCCATTGAGGAGTTTCACGTTAACTTTTATTGTGCTTAATATTTGATGTAATTTCTTTGTTTTGTTTCTCCATATATMTTTGCTCCGTGCTCTTTGTACACTGTTCTTCTAACTGATATTCCTGATATTTATTAAGCAGGGAAGTTTAAAGTTAATAGGTCATAAAGTATTTCTTAATAGGTCAGCGCATGCTTTTTTTTTTTTTTTTTAGTTGAGCTTAATTGAAATAAGCTTGTGCTTTAATGATTCAAGTGTCAATTAGTAAATGACAGAGAAGAAACTGACAGACTTCCCTGTTACTGAAAACTTCAGTATTTTTAATCAGTTTTCTTGTGTCTTTAGGCATTGCATTTAATTTTTTTCTAAAACCTCACATTACCACAGTTTGGAACAATGTTTTGGTACCAAGGGGAATGTAAACCTAATTTATAAATGACCTTTAATTATGGAAATTGGGCCGGTAGAATTGATGAACATGTTCCTTTTTATACTAGACACATTCAAATGTTCTCCTACTAAGAATTTGCCACTTTCTCCCTTTATTTTAAAGAAAAACATTAAATAAGAATGTAATTGGGTACTTAAGAAATGTCATGCTATGAAGAGTCTGCTTTAAATTGTGCTCTTTCCTGAGTTAGGATTTTTTCCTCCCCCCCGCTCTGAAACATCATTACTTAGTTTGTGTTCTCCCAGTCCCTTGCCACGTAAAGCAAAACTTTTTTTTTTTTTTTTTTAAATAATTATTGAAAACTGACCAAGGAAATGACAGGTCTGTTCTGTGAGAGGCTAATAAGCTCAGCCTAACAGAAAAGAAGTTCGAAAGAGATTGGATTGTTTTCTCTAGCATTTGGAGAAGAGATGGACCACAAATAAACTTAGTTTGCAGGCTGGTTTTGGGAGGTAGACCTCAAAATCTGGAAACCRTAATAACTTAGAGTAGCTCAACTCTGTAGAAATGGCTACAATGATATGATGTGGATTTTAGAAAAAATGTTGTCAGGGAAGCATGGACCTAGCTACTGGATGCATGTACCTTCTGTGGTTCATGCATGGTGCTTTCCAGCTCAGATTAAATTATTTCTAGGAATTCTTAGTTTACTTGGTTGCTGACTTACTTCTTTTTTCCTTTGAAGAATAATTCGGTGAAAATTATTCTAGTCTAATACAAAATCCTGCAGCTGATCTTCAGAGCAAAATCAGCTAAGTGGGTAAACATAAAGAATTCATATACTTTTGCAGCCCAAATCAAAGAATAAGAATTCTTTGATCAAAATGTGTTTATCAGAATACATAAAACTAAGATAGATGTGCCTGTTGATTGTCTAGAATGTACAAATGTTCTGAAATTCAGATAGTGGAAAATGAGCTGTTTAATTTGAATGTGGAAGTTTGGAGGGGGGTAACAAGGGGAAAAAAAGATTCTGTAAACATTTTGTCAAATGCACTATTTGTGTAGTCACTTAACTAACTTGCATTAATCTGCTTGTTTTTCTTGTTTTTGTTCTATTTAGGCTGGTAAAATTCAGTTTGGTTATGTGTATGGAATCAGTGCAATTGGATGTGTAGGGATGTTTTGTCTCCTGAACCTAATGAGCATGACGGGTGTCTCATTTGGCTGCGTGGCCAGTGTCCTTGGATATTGTCTTCTTCCTATGATCTTACTTTCCACTTTCGCCATTGCATTTTCATTGCAGTAAGTACATGAACTTCAGAATTTGGTACCATAGTGAAGAAACCGTGTGTAATTTGAATATGATAAGAATTTGTGGTAATGGGGAAAATATAAGTATCAAGAATCTTTAGATCCTTATTGTATAGTTTAATTAACAGCTTTTAAATACATGTACAGAAATAACAATGTCAAGTTATGTTTTTAGTCAACTGTTACTCAGAAAAATTTCTGTATCCCTAAAGTCTAAAAGATGATTATATGTTGAAACAGGAAATTGAATTTGTCAAATAAGAAAATCTGCTTAATGCTTCATAGCTACATGAAGTWATGAATTGGAGAGCATCAAGGAACCACTTGATACAGTTTTCTTATTCTAACTTCAGTTTCATATGCACAAAAGTTAACTTTGACTTTTTTCACAATGGAATAGTTATGAAAAAATATACTTATTAAATGGAACWGAATCTCTGTAAAGATTTAAAAAGTCCTCAGGTTAATCTTAGTTTGGAAGTTGTAAAAGGCGTTAAACAGAGTCCAGTTATGGCTCCTGTTGTGGGCATGTATGTGCAGTTCTTAAATGATTGTTTTGTTTTTGTCTTTGCAGGGGCATGATGGGAATTATTCTCACTGCTGGAATTATTGGCTGGTGCAGCTTTTCWGCTTCCAAAATCTTTATTTCTGCCTTAGCAATGGAAGGACAACAACTCCTAGTAGCATACCCCTGTGCTTTATTGTATGGAGTCTTTGCTCTTATTTCTGTGTTTTGAATAGACTGTACAAATTATTGGACTCCAGTGGGCCAAAATGAAAAGATCAACTTGGAACATTTAGTTGGACCAGAAGCAGCTGCAAACAGTTATATAATACTGCTATCATGAAACTTAGACCCGGTTTGAATTATTTGGAACGATGGGAACAAATGTCTTTTGTTCACTTTTTTAGGACTTTGAATACTGTTTTCAATTGACCTAAGGTGTCTATAGCTTTAATAAGTATTCATGCTTATAAAGTTAATGTAATTTCTTTCCCATTCCTAAAATCTTTGGAAAAGTCACTTTTGTTTATCTGAGGGTTATTTGGGGYGGGGGGCGGGGGGTTGATGAGTAAGGGAGGGAGGAAGGCTGCAGTTACAATGTCCTTGATAGATTTTTATCAGCAAAGGTAAATAAAACCACAGATATAAATCTGAGTTTCTCTGAATAATTCTGCAATAATAATCTATTTCCTGTCCCYTCTTACAAAAAAATGAAATGCACAAAGGAATTCAAGCAATTAGAATATTTTGTATATCTCAACAAATACACTCTTAAGCTTTTTGGTCTCTTATGTGTTCATTTATGGTGATAGTATTTCAGGATTTTGGATATTTACAATATGAATTAGAAGATGTTCTTAAAAGTCAAACCTATGTGTTAGTTTGGATTTATGAAGCTGACTTCATCTAGAATTACTCTTCTTAATAATCCATATATTAGTTATTGAGGAAAAATATCTTTTGCAGTACTTCCAAGGAAAACACCATTTTGAAAATGTTGTCAGCTTGTCAGTATTGCAGTTACTGTAAACATAAYTTAAGGCATATTGATTAAATTTTCTTTAAATTTTGAAAATGGTGTTTATTTTTTATGGTCATTTTTTTCTCTTTTGAATGAACTTCAGTTTTTAAAATAGGAACAAATAGGAAGTCCTAAAGTGTGTAAGAAAAGGACACAGCACGTTTGCTTGCTTGTTTTCTAGACCCAGCATGTCCTAATCTCACCTTCCAGCGTTGAATCACTGACCAAGTACCTAATGGTAACACCTGCTGGTAGCACTCCTGGTGCAGTCTTAGAAAACACCACTGAAGCAGCCTGTACCTGGAGAGACAAGATAATCATGTCTAGGAGGAAGTAATTTAAAAAATCTCAATAGAAAACTACTAGAATTTCACCTTTCATCCAAGTGATACATAGGGATAACTTCAAAAGGATAGCACAATCTTTTTTTCTCACTTTTCCCTTGTTTCTGCACATTGTTCTAAAAATAAAAATACTTCTTTCTAGTGGCTCTAGAAATTACTGACCAGAGCCAACTCCTGCGTGTGGATCTTGGAGCTGTGGAAAGTGCCTTTTTTTTAAAAAAAACTTCTTTTCCAGCATAATTTTCTACTTTAATATTTTATTGGGAAGTGTCATCCTAAATACAAATGGGTAAATTGGCTTTTAGTCTACTATTTCTCTGCCTGCTTTTGTACTTCTGATTTTCTTTTGATAAGCGGAGCCCAGCTGCCCTTTTTTACAAAGTTCTCATTTTTATAAATGAAAAACATTACCAGCTGATGGAGCACAAAGTCCTGTATTTGTGCAAATAAATTACAGCAATTACCTTTACTAATGAGGCCTAATTAAACACAGAAATGTTATAACAAATACAAAAGCTTGTATACTTTGAATATGTCGTGTTCCAGTGTTCAAATACTATATTTTTGTAAAGTATGCAATTAAGCTTATGTTATTTACATAAATGCATTTAATTTCTTAAAATGTCCTCTAGTGAAATATTGGCAGGGGAACTTCTGAGTCTGGGGTGAACATATCTACAGCTAACTGCATGTGTTCGCCATGTCCATGCTCTGACAGAGGCAGCTGTTACCTAGCCAAGCAATGAAGTTAGGCCAGTTTCAGAACTTTGTGCCCTTAGCAGTCAGTTTTTAACTGAGAAATTTTGGGAGTGGGGGAAGAAATGGATGGGAGTAAAAGCTCAAAAATTTTATTTATAGAGAGCATTTCAAAAACAGTATCTACACTGCTATCTTAAATTTCTAGTAGACTAGTTAATATGATTCCATTGACTCTGCTCATTATCTTTCCAAAATCAAATCCACCAGTTTTCCATAGTGTAGTCTTAGCTCTTGCTTCAGTTTTAGCAACTTCTTTTCACACAATTTATCCTTACCATCACATAGGATGACAGGGCTGTATTTAATCCTTTATGCCCACGTTTGCTTTTAGACTTTTTTTATCTTCTAAATCTGAAATCTCCCCCATGGTCTGTTAAAATCAGCATTCTCATCTAGTTTTCAGGTGAGTATTGGCATTCTTGCTTTTGTGCTGTGTTCTGTCATGCCCTTTTGAGTATTATTCGCCTTAAAGCGCTCCAGTGTGAATGCTGCTACTGCTTTCTTCAAGTCGGTTTCATCTCACACCCACTCTCCAAAGGATGGGCCCTCTACAGACGTCAATTTAAAGTTACYTTTCCCGCTTAACCCATTCAAAAGCAGTGTTTGACAGCATCCTGGCTTCTCAGGTCATTTGCTTGGCTAGGAGGCAGTTGCTGCCCGCAGTTCAGTTTGTTTCTTTAGGCAGGACCTTGGTCAGTCTCCATGGACGCCATGATGCATCCATGGATAAAAATCACACTTTTCTGTGTGTTTATGCTTTCAGTGATGGAAGCTGTGTTGGCATTTGTTCTTGATGGGCTCTTAGTGTTTGGCGGTGGATGAATGCCTGCAGAAGAAGGAGYGCCGGGTGGCTTTGGGGTTGTGTGAAGCCGCGTGCTGCTCGGAATGGCAGCCGGCGCGGAGCGGCCGCCTGGGTCTGTGTGCGGCGAGCAGCCTGGCAGCGATTGCAGAGGGCTCCCCTCTACGGCATCGCTGGGTCCGCAGACGGGCAGGCTCCSCGCCGCTGCTGCGGGTCTGTGACGGGGAGCCGCACGGAGGGGAGGCTGAGGGGGCTCCGGGAGGCGCGAAGGAGCTGGGGCTCTCGGACGCTCATGGCCAGCGCTCCCTTGGGAGCACATGGAGGCTGGGTTGGCTCGCAGCCTCACRGCCAGCCCGCAGGAAGGAGCAGGAGCAGAGCTCCAACGCGCTCTTAATGCCACAGCTCACAGCAATGCTAGTAACTCCAAGCCTGGGTTTGATGTTAGGAACCATTTTAGCTGAAAGAACCGGTGCCGGTGTCCTCTGGGGGCCCTCCTGCGCGATGGTCGCGGGTGCTGCTATCTCCCGCTTCTCCACTGGGTGGGCCTGCAGCACGCGCCATGCGAGGCCGAGCGGGCTGGCTGCAGGCGGGAGGCCCTGGCTCTGCCGCGCACATCTCCTGGAGCAGCCCGGGGCTCGGGCAGTCCCACCGGCCCGTGGCGGCCGAGCAGCTGAGGCGGAGCCGCATCCGTGCCTCCCGCGGGGACGTCCTGCGGCGTGGCGGCGGCCGCATCCCTGCGCAACGCGGCAGGAGGATCCGCGGGATGGAGGGCCCGGCCTGCGGACACCGAGCGCGGCAGGAGGCCGCTGCCTGCGAACGCGCCCGCCGGGCGGCAGCCTCGCGCCCTCCCGGGCAGAGTCAGCGGCCATTAGCCAAGCAGCAGCCCGGCTCGGGGGAATCCCAGCTATTGTGCCCCCAAGCTTTCCTTTCTCCCCTGTTATTTCTTTATTGCAGGAAGTACTGAGATTAAAAAAAGTGAAGATTTTTCTGATTCTCATCAGGAAATGATGAAGGGGAAGACTGTCTAAAATTAGACACTACAGTCCTGGAACTGGCCTCTCAAACATGGCACTGCAGTTTAGGCTTTGGGAAGAAAGGCGTTGTTCCGTTTCCTTACACGCTAAACCACCACATCATTCCTGGAATTACAGTGCTCTTACCGTATACGTTTACACTAAGTTTTTCCCAAAATTCCTCCTCTGCTTTGAGCCTAGGAATCCAGCCGTCTTGGACACCTGCCTTATCTCCCGATCTCCCAGACCCACGCGCTTCCCGCTCGCGCACGTCCGCCTGCGTTTGGCAGATGGCCGCCGGGCCGAGGCCGAGCGCGCCGGAGCGGCCGTGCCACGAGCCCCGTGGCCCTGTGCGGCCGCCGCCAAGGCCAGAGCCTGCCAAAGACCCTTGCCGAGCTGCGCTTTCTGCTCCAGAGAATAATGATTTACCATGGAAGAGAAGTCAGGACCTGACCTACATGGCTTCCTCCTTCCCGCCTTGTCCCCGGCAGACCACACAGTTGAACAGCTCAGCTCAATGATGTTCCTGCCGTTTTTTGGCATCTTCCCAGCCTGTGGATGGCAGCCCTCGGCATTGTCAGCAGTTTGTGAACCCGCGTTCAAGGCGCCCTGGGCCTCCAGGTAAAATCTAGCAGCAAAATCCAGGTCCAACACAGGGCGGGTTGATCCCACTCCAGTGAGCGTCAGCCTCATTTTCCGACAAATTTCCCATTTAGCTCAATGGGGGACTAGGATGAATCCACAACATGGGTCTTTGGCCAGTGGTCATGTCAGACAAACGGGGATAAATCCCCTGGTTCCCCAGGGACACCTCAGCGGCCAGGCCCAATGCTTCAATGGGAGCCAGGCCCAGGGCCGCGCGGCTCCCTGGCCCGGGCCGGCCGCCTCCGGGGAGCTTTCCCTGCGAGAGCTCGGGGCCGGCGCTTGCCTCGGAAACGTGCTGCTGAAGAGCGTGTTCACAAAGGACCTCTGTGTGAGGAGATGGTATAAACTGCAGAGCTGAAAATACAGCTTAAAACCTTACTGCATTAACCTCTTCACATTCACTTACCTGAGAATTTCGAAGCTCCAGTTGTCCCAATAACTTCACCGCACAAACACTCATAACAAGTTGCTGAAAATTTTAATGAGTTTAGCGCCTTTTGCTTCATCTATTTAATCTTTGCTTTATTAATATGAGTCAATGTGCGGATCGTTTGAGTAGTTGGTTCAAATGTTAATCATCAATAAGTAACAATAATCTAGCATCTTGGCAAGGCTCTGCTGGCAGTGTGGTCACTGGATTGAATCACAGGTGGAAACATTTACATTTAGGACGATTTTCTCATTCCAGAATTTTGTCCCAATCAAAAATTACTGGTTCAGACAAGGTTAGGAGACCCGAAGAAGGCAGCGTCTGTACTAAACCGATGCCAACAACAGATGTCACATTGCTTGTTGCTCTCCTTTCCTACCGACTCACTCAGCCACGTTCTGCCAAATACCCATTTGGTTCTGTTTTAAAAGTCCTTAGCCTGCAATGTACAGAATTAACTCTAATCATTATATATGAGCTTTGAGAAACGTTAGCGTTTCCTTTGAGGAAGCGAYGAGTGTTCTTTATCTTTTGGAGCGGGCTGTTCCAGGAGGCAGAAGGGCTGCCCGGCAGGGCAGCGTGGGAAGCGGCCGGTTCGCGGCCAGCTGCACGCGGGTCTCTGTGTGCGACGCTGCGGGCCAGCCCTGTGTCCCGGTGCTGCCTATGCTGGACGCAGCCGGTTCCCGGCCAGCCACACGCAGGTCGCTGTGCGCGGCGCTGCGGCCCTGTATCCTGGTGCTCCCTGCGTGGGAAGTGGCCAGTTCGCGGCCAGCCACACGTGGGTCACTGTGTGCGGCGCTGCGGGC